GTTTCCTACGATGTTCTTTATGGGTATCTCGGAAACTACTGGAGCTAGAGTCGGTTAAATGGGGAAAGAATTGCAGTTTTGTGGGGTCATAAATATGCGCTTTTCAGATTTTTGAAAAAGTTCATGGCTTGCTAGATATTTCGAAAAAAAACAAATTTTGGCTATTTTAAAAATTATCCCTAATTCCATTATAATCTATTTTAGACAAAAAGTTTTCAGATAAAAGTTGTAGATAATCACATCCTTAATGAGATTGTGTCCTCCGTTTTCTTCTAAAGCCTGTCATTTTTGACATATGATACAAACATATCTTTTTTTTTAAATGGAAACCATAGTTGGCCATGACTTCATAAAAAGCGCCATTTTTTAAGCTTTTTAGCGATATAAGCTGTAATATGTTTTTTTTTCGAAAAATTACCGAGTTATAGCCAATTCGTATCATTTTTAAACAGTTTCACTTAGTTAGCCATGGAAACAAGTTCAATCGCCGTTGCTCTCAGAAATGTGAAGCTGTCACATCCAAACTTTGTAAATCAAAATGAACAAAAATTGCAAATATGAATTTTTCAAATGAAGAAAAGCGTGTAGATACTCGCGCATCAATAGAGTGGTTCCAACATGACTTTCATTATGACCCCCCATAATGAAATAAATGTTAAAATTTTTTTATATCATAATAATTATGCAAACTCAAGGATAGGAAGAGATGGACCAATTGCATGGGCCTCCTCGATCACCTCACCTAAAGTGCGAAACATTTAAGTTGAACAGCGCGGCATCGGTACGGGGGGTATGGCTTCAGTTGAATTTATCCGTAAATTGCCCAGTGGTTTGCATTGGCCCGCATTCCTTTCGCTGTTCTTTTTCTGTTTAAAATGTGTCGAATATTATCCATTTTAGATTTTGTATGCGGTATGGTTAAGAATAAGGTTTACAAAAAAGCTTATGAATTAAGAGCCACTTCGAGTGCCTAAGTGGCGGTACGAGAGAAGTTTAAGTCGACCGGTCCTTCTGTGTGAAATAGGTAGTAATTCAGTTTTAAAAAGATGCAACTCAAAACAAAGGCGGATTTTTTGAACATTTCTAAAATAACTTAAAGTGTGTGTAGTGATATTATTTTTTAAGTTTTAGTTTGTGTAATGTAAATTGTAAAGAACCGTTTAATACTATTTTCTGACTTTTTATAAGTGATAAATCATAACAGAATAAGGGTATCATGCAATCTAAGTGAAATTAGTCAAGAAAGATAAGAACTGGCTATAACTAAATTCAACTTTTATAACATGTCTTGAAAACCGTTCTCTAAAAAACGTAACATTCACCTGTCAACGTATCCTCGAAAATGTATGGTCAAGATTTCTTCATTTGAAAAATTCGTATTTACAATTTTTATTTATTTTAATCTACAAAGTTTGGATGTGACAGCTTCACATTTCGGAGAGCAAAGACGATTAAACTTGTTTCCATGACTAAGTGAAATTGTTAAAAAATTATAAGAATTGGCTATAACTCAGTAATTTTTCAAAAAAAAACATATTATAGCTTATATCGCTGAAAAGCTTAAAAAATGGCGCTTTTTATGAAGTCATGGCCAACTATGGTTTCCATTTAAAAAAACATATGTTTGTGTCATATGTCAAAAATGGCAAGCTTTAGAAAAAAACGGAGGATACAATCTCATTAAGGATGTGATTATCTACAACTTTTATCTGAAAACGTTTAGTCTAAAATGGATTATAATGGAATGAGGGACAATTTTTAAAATAGCCAAAATTTGTTCTTTTCGAAATATCTAGTAAGCCATGAACTTTTTGAAATATCTGCAGGGCGCATATTATTTATGATCCCACTAAACTTATTCTTTCCCCATTTCACCGACTCTCTATCTCCAGTAGTTTCCGAGATACCCATAGAGAACATCGTAGGAAAGTCACCCTGTTTTAATACATAGTACTTATTTGTATATTTAAAAAATAATAAGTTTATAAACTTGTGACGTTTAGGACTTGCAGTTACAGCTTTAAAAATAAACAGTCTTTTACTTTAGATATTTTATTGAAAAATAAACTTAAAATCATATAAAACATCATATAAAATATACAGGGTTGTGCACCACATACGACACGGAGTATTGTAGCTAAACGATTAGATTTTTACAAATTGTAAGTTTTGGGTTCGTTGAAGGACTATTAGAGATAAAATTTGTGTGTCCCAAATATGTAAAAAATATTATAGTTGAATTTTTTAAATGGAACTCCCTGTATATTATTCTATTTTTAGATTCTACGATTAAAATAAAGGTAAATTTGATTAAGTTTTATCACACTTAAACCTTACCGTTTTTGCAATATTTTCAATTTTATGAAATTGCAGTAAAAATATTAAGGCTTCATTTCTCCAAGGGTACCAAAGTTTTTAATACTGAATATTTACTGAAGATTATTTATTGATCAGATATTGTGTTGCAATAATAAATATTTTACTACCTTATACAGAGTGTCCAAAAATTTATATTAAATAATGACTAGCTTTAAACGGCAATGAATTTAAATGGAGCACCCTATATATTTTACGTGAATCAGATGCAAATGTAATTGTCTATCAAATTGTATTATACCATTTTTTACCCATCTCTTTAAGTTTTCGTAGAAAATGCATTTTCTTATAATTTAAACCTCATTTATCACTATATCCATGGAATATAGACATTTTAGATTATTTTTAAAGATGTAACAAATTTTCAAAAAGTACGGATACTAATATTGTCGCTTATTTCATTAAAAAAAATTAATTTTATTTGTCTTGTTATGAGCTTTCGAAAAATATATCCTATACTTGTTTCCATAAACAAGATACATTAATTAATTAAATTTATGACATAGGCGGCTGATTTACATGAGATAATGAAAACAATCGAGTCGACGTAAAATTTTGGTTATTGTCTATTCTACGCTAGTTTCTGTGTGTGAAATTACGTATAGGACAAGTTCATAAAAATATCAATATCTCTGACTGACAGCGCGTTATCTGCGAGTGTGAGTGCAGTTTATTAAGATAACATGACGAAGAGCAAAATTCTCTGGTACAATTAAATTAAATAAAATAATAATACTCTTAAATTAGGTTGATTTATGTTAAAAAGTTAAATAATGCATTAAAAAATACAAATATTCTATTTAAAAACTGCAATTATACATTGAAATAAATTGTATCCACATAATGATAATTGTTATATAAAAAACCATATTAACTTACAATAATGGGCTAATATTGTATATGCAGCTAACTTAGTAATATTTTTTTAGTTATTAAAGAAGAAGGAAGAATTATCGGAATTACCATTTTTTTTAATTTTCCGGTGTATTGCTTTCATCAGAATGGAGAAAAAAGAACACAAGGAACATATGAAAGCCTAAAGTCCCAATTTGAAACTGTTGCTTTCTTTATTGATTTATTGAACGAAGAGTTATAGGGGTTGAGCCACTTTTGAGACGCACCCGGTATAGCATTCTATTTGAAAAAGTTTAACTTCAACCTGGAAATAACTCTGTTAAAATGACACTATAGATTAACATTTTTTTATTAATTTAGGCTACTATTGCTAACCAATTTTTGTAAAAAAATAAAATAAAATTATTAAATACACAAATAGAAAACCTGCTAAAAATTTAATGAAAACAGTGAGTCATTCTGCAATAGTTATAAGAAATGTTTAGAAATAAGTTTTTTTTCAACTGCTTACTATAATTGTAAATTTAAAATATAAATTTAAAATTTTACTACTTTACAGTTGAGGGCTGGTGTTACAACAGCAAGATAAAACACTAATTCACCACAAAACACTTTATTTTTGTCATCATGTATTTTAATCATCTTCTGATGATGCTAATATGGTTAGCGAAACACGCGTTTAGTACAAAAATAAAGTGTTTTGGTATATTGTGGTGAATTAGTGTTTTATTTTGCAATTTTACTACTATTGAAAAATGAGATATTTTGATATCACATGAGTCATAAAAATCATCAAAATACATTAAATAAATATTACTTATATAATTTAAGTAGCAAAGAGTAAAAATTAAAGATACGGCAACAACGCCGGGCTTCCCGCTACCGCGCAACATGACGCCCGGCCGATATACGCCGTCAAAACAAGAAAATATTCAGCCGAATTAAATTCGTCGCACGTCCGCCCCTTGCCGCGCCAACCCAGACTACCGGGCTTCGACGTGTCCGCGTGATGTAGGGGCTGCGTATTGGTGGCGTTGCATGTATATATATATATATATATATATATATATATATATATATATATATATATATATATATATATATATATATATATATATATATATATATATATATATAATAGCTTAGTTCCCCCTTTACGACAAGCAAAACAATTTTCTTTTTACTTTTTTTGAATTTTTCTCTACTTTCGATTTTTCGAAATTAGAAAAATACACAGCTAAAGGCAAGAAAATATTATTTATTAATATACACTAAAGCTGTAAGAATTTTGTTCATTTCATATATTTGAGCGGGCCGAAAAACGCTCTTTACCATCTTTTGACGGGAGGTGCACTAATATCTCACCGACACTTTACGACATCGTCTGTTGATATAGAAGAAGTTTTGCTTGCCGTATCGGTGAGAACCAGCCCCTGGACAGCCCACCTGATGAAGGGTAGGCCCAGAAACCGCTTGTGGGAGTGGAGCTTGGTTCCCCCTTTACGACAAGCAAAACAATTTTCTTTACTTTTATTTTTTTTTTTTTAATTTTTTCTACTTTCGATTTTTTGAAATTAGAAAAAATACACAGCTAAAGGCAAGAAAATATTATTTATTAATATACACTAAAGCTGTAAGTATTTTGTTCATTTCATATATATATATATATATATATATATATATATATATATATATATATATATATATATATATATATATATATATATCTGGTCTATTTAGCCAGAGATCATCAGGTATTTCTCTATTTTCTAGTTCTTTATCCACACCCTCCTACCTCCCGGCCTACCCCTTTTATTTCTGCCTCGAGGTGTCCACAGTAAAATTTGTTTTGGTATTCTGTGATCGGGCATTCGTTGCACATGACCAAACCATATGAGTTGTTTTGTTCTTATGTCGTCAACAATTGTGTGTTCTGCTCTCATAATCTCCCTTACTCTGTTGTTGGTTATTTGTTCTCTTTTCGATTTTCCAGCAGATCTCCTCCAGTAATCCATTTCGGTCGCTAATAGCATGTTCTCTGTTCTGCTTTTCAACTGCCATACTTCGCTTCCGTAAGTTATTATGCTTTTCACTACCGTATTATATATATTCTTCTTATTAGTTTTAGAGATTCCTTGATCCCACAGCACACCATTCAACATAGATGTTGCCCTTCTGCCTTGCATTATTCGATCTTTTATACCCTCGTCGAGTTTTCCATCGTTAGTTATTTTTAATCCGAGATATTTATATTTGTCGCAGTTTTTTATCACGCTTCCATCCTCTAAGACTATGTTCTCTTGTGGCCCCCCTACAGTCATACATTCAGTTTTGGCTATATTTACCTCCAACCCCCATTTCTTATACTCCTCTATCAGCTTCCTTGCCATATATTCAAGGTCGTCGTGATCTTGGGCTAGGACTATCTGGTCGTCCGCAAAAAATAGGGTGTATAGGGTGTCCTCATTTATTAGGGGGATTCCCATTCCTCTACACTAAAGCATCCATTTTTTTAGTGCTTGTTGCAGGTATATTTTGAATAGTATAGGAGATAGGCAACATCCCTGCTTGAGGCCTTTTGTAATTTTTATGCTTTCTGACAATGAGTCTCGTATTTTTATTCTAGCTGTGGTGTTCTGGTATAAGTTCTTAACTGCTTTAAGTAGGTTGACATTTATATTAGTTATTTTCAACGTTTCCCACAATTTATTTAATGGTATGCTGTCATAAGCCTTTTGGAGGTCTATATATAGTAAGTAGTAAGTGTACCTCTTGATCTTTTGCCGTTTTTTTCTCTAAGACCTGTGTTATGGTAAACAGATGATCCACAGTAGACCTTCCCGCTCTAAAACTCGCCTGTTCTTCTATTTCTATCTCTTTATATTCATTTTCTCGAGGGATGTCTCACTATTGGAATTACATGTACATTTTCTTGGCAGTCGCTGACAGTCTTATGGCAGTCGCTGGCAGTCTTATGGCAGTCACCTATAATAATTACATGGCAGTCATAGGCAGTCTTCTTCATAGTCATTGGTAGTCGCTTAGCAGTGGAAGGATATTTTGGGAGTACGTGTACATTTTTAACCCGAGTGAGACACCCCTCGCATTTTCTATTTTATTCTATAGTATCTTTCCATATAATTCTACTTAATGTACTTGTCACTGCCAAGCCTCTATAGTTTGCACAGTCTTCTCGATTTCCTTTTTTAAAAATCGTCGTGATATATGAGGTTTTAAAATCTTTTGGTACTTCTGCGCCATCTATGCACATCTGGAAGAGTTTTGTTATATGTCGGTACAGATTTTCCGTCCCATATTTTATTAGTTCTCCTGGTATATCTCCCGGGCCTGCGGATTGACCATTTTTTACATTTTTACATGTCTCCCTTACTTCTTTAGTTGTTATTCTGAGGGGAGATGCGGCTACTGTTATCCTTTCTTGTGTTTCTTTACCTGTCTCAAAATATGCTCTGTTCTCGGTAAGTAATGTTTTAAAATACGATTCCCATTTGTCCATTGTTACTGTCGATATTATGTCCTTATTTTGATTTTGTCTTAATTGTTTTATCATTTTCCAGCTTTCAGTACTTTTTCTTCCACCCAGATAAGTATTGATTTTCATACATTTTCGTTCCCAAGCTTCATTTTTCTTCTGTGTTATTTTGCGTCTGACTATTGCTTGTATTTTTTTATATTCTACTTTATCATTGTGACTATTTGTATTTAAAAATTGTTGATATTTTTGTCTTTTTTCAGTTATAATACTTTCTATATCTGGATCCCATCAATATGGTTTTTTACTTTTAGTATATCCATAAGGTCCCAAGGCCTCCAGCGCAGTTGGGTGTATACTTTTTTTAATGTGTTCGTGATATATTTCGGGGTCTTCGAATCTTGTATTTATTAATTTCTCATCTAGGCGTTTTCTGTATAGTTCTTTTGTACACTCATTGTCAAAGCTATCTATGTTATATCTCTTTTGTTGTTCTTTGCTGCTTTTTTGTTGTTCTTTGTCTTCCATATTTACATCGGTTCTTCTCGGTTTGTGTACTATTGTAGCTTTGAGTAGATTATGATCACTACCACACGTGGCTTCTCTATACCCTCTTACATCTTTTACTTCTAGTTTGGAGTCTTTTCTAATGATATTATAGTCAATTATAGATTTTAATCCCCTTGTATTTTGTATCCATGTGTATTTGTGTATATCTCGATGTTGGTAGAATCCATTCATTATTTTTAAGTCATTCTGTTCGCATAAGGTTATTAGTCGATTTCTCTCTCTCCGTTGTCATTTTTTGTATCTTCTCCATAGGGTCCTGCAACTTGGCTATCTGTACTTTTGCCAACTCTGCACTTCAAGTCTCCTAGTATAATGATTTCTCTAGTTTTTCCCACTTTTGTTATTTCGTTATTCAGATCTTCGAAAAACTTGTCTTTAACATTTACTAAAGAGTCATCGTTTATACCATATACCACAAAGATAGTTATTCTATTTTCACGTACAGTCATATTTATCTTAATGATTCGTTCACTGATAGCTTCCCATGAATGCACATGTTTTCTATGGTTTCTTTTTATAAGTACAGATGCTCCTTGTTGTGCTGTTCGGTTTTTAGATACTCCACTGTAGAAATGGTCATATTGGCCCATGCTTTCCGATCCTTGTCCTTTTTTCTTTGTCTCTGTGATTACCGTGACGTCTAGTTTTAGATTTTTAATTTCTATCATTACTTCATTTATTTTCCTAGTGAGGCCCTGTACATTCCATGTTCCATAACTCATTGTCCGTTTCCGTTGCTTAAGTCTGCTTTGATTTTTCCGTCCAGTTCCGAGGCTGTGGTTAGGTTTTTTAGCATTTGTAGCTCTTACGGGTTATAGGGAGCTAGCCTATAGCCCCAACCCTCCTCCTTTATCCAGGCTTGGGACCGGCAATGGCCCCCTTAGAGCTACTCAATTCACTCCTTAGAGACCACAGGCGGAGTTCATATCAATACATGCCTTGGTTAATTTTTAAGAGCGAAATGAACTTGCTACCAACAATTTGCAATTTTTTCAATTATCATTTCTTTTTGAAGTTATTTTTTAATATGAAAAGGCGGCTTTGGGGATTATTGTGAGCTATATACTATGAACTACCCATAATGTTCGACGTTTACAAATGCTTGGCAGGAGGATTGGTTTATTTGGTTCATCCAATAATAGAACATAAAAATGAAAGCCAGGTCCAAACACTTTATCAGGTGTTAAGAATGTATGATAAAAAATTCTTTAATTACTTTGATTGAAGATATATAAAAATTGCAATACAAACCGGCAACGACGCGCTGTTTACATCAAAATATTTTATAAAGGTATAAACAATTTATTTTAGGGCTGCAATAAAAATTTAGTGGTATTACCTTGACCGTAAATCCCGTTACCCGAGTGTTTAAAAATCACCCTGTATTTTTTTGAACTTAACTATACCTAAGCTATTACAAATTATAATTTGAATAATAATGCGAAATCTGAATTATTGTAACTGAATAAAACTATTAAATAAAACACACCTACCACACTCGTTTTTCTCTTTTTTTTTCTTTATCTTCAAAATTGTTATAAAATTTGGTGCACAATGTCTCCCATGCCTTGGATATTTCAATTCTGTTGCTGTATGTATCTTTTGTATAGTCCCAAATGCAAGGAAGAAGGCGGATTTCCTCTATAAAGAGTTCCATGTCGAAATATTTATCCATTTTTTAAGAAGAAGCGTTCAATACGCAGGTAACAGAGGTGCCTAATGCAAAAATAATGCAAAGGTATGACTGGAGTCGGTATCATAGTATAACTAGTCGGTATCATAGATAAGATACTATAATATAATTTAGTATAATAAAAGTCGGTCTGGTTATCATCTGGTCCAGTTGTGTTAGGTTAGGTTAGGTGCGGCTGGGTTGAGATTTGATGCAGGATAAAGCAGGATTGTAGCAGCCCAAGCAGGATCGTATTTTATAATTCCTGCTTTCAGTGAGTTGCTAACTTCCCGGATCTGGTGTTTCCTTTTAAAAGCGTCCAATTGTATTCTCCCACCCTGTACATGTCTATATTTTCATTATGGGGCAAGAAACATATTGATATCCACTGTTTTAGGAATATTGCCCTTTTAGGACTGCCCTTTTCAAAAAAGGACAAGTTGCAACCCTAGGTATTTCTGGAATGGAAATTTAATGGCAAATCTACAACTTTAGTTTGAAAATATGTTTCGGCCACCTATGTTTAAAAAAATGTCTAATCTAAAATGTGTTTGGTTTGGTTTGGTTTGGTTTGGTTTCATAATTATATACAGCTTGTTAAAAAATTCATGAAAATAGGGCTAAAAATAATAAAAATATAACACTTTAAATTTGACCAAAAAATTCTCCGTCGAGTTTTTTTTTGCATCTGAGTGTAAATTCAACGGAAAATACTGGGAAGATAGCATATTCAAATCTAGAAAGATATTGAAATATGTAGAAAATGCTTAGATCAAAATGTAAACAAAAACTAGAAAACAAATGACAACTAGTCAATCGATTCCTCGATCGATTCGTCTCAATCAATCCGTATCATTAGTCAATCAGTTAAAAAAACATAAATCAATAAATGGTATCAAAGAACTTATACTGATGCTACCAGTTCCTTCCAATTCAAATTACTAAACATTAAAAGCTGATATCAAAACTCGCTTACTTACATTGTAACAGTCGTGATTCACAACATTCGTTATAAGCCGTTTAAGAAAATATAATTAATACCTCTTGTTGTTATAACTTATTCAGAGGCACATAAATCCAACGTACAGGTATAATTAACAACCATATTTACAGGGTTTTTTGTTCGCTAAGCTGAAAATTCATCATCATTATTTTCATATAGAGTAAAAACAGGTTAACAGGTCTATTAGTTATTACACTTTGAAGCAAAGGTAAAAATGTGAATAAAAAACATGCTATAAAACCATAATCGGCATAAAATTGCAGATAAAACTCATACATATTTCTGCACAAGATTTAAGATTCTTTAAATTTGCATTAAATAATATTATCTTGGGCCGGTAAGCGAGCGTCTAGGTTGGCCAGTCACATTCAATACCAATTATTGAATTAAGCTTGGAAATGTCCGCCATAAAGGCCGATCTAGATACGGCTAGTAATTTAATCAAGTAGAGAGAGGTCCCGAGCAATTTAGTGCAAATTTAATGTGCGTTTTTATTGATACCGTTAGAGATTTATATAGTAGAAGATATTTATGTTTTAAAACCCTATTTAAGGTCTAAATTACATTCTAAAATAATTAAAAGAACAAAAATATTTAGTATTTTGCTTAAATCATATACAAAATAAAAAAACCTAATGTTAAAATAAAAACATAGACTAAACAACTGTCAAAAAATTCTTTCTTAGTAACCGGTTTCGGCAATTCCAACCATCATCAAACCTTAAAAACAGATATCTATAAATAATAAAACTTATATAAATGTATAAAAGCAAATAAAAAATATACAATAAAACACAGATACAAATCTGTTTACATATTTCTTCAATTAACATGATCCCAGTATTTAAACTACATTAATTGAGTATTTATGTTGATATAATAATTGCTCCAAATACTAAAAAACTGAATTTTGCATGTGTATTAGACAGTGTGGTATTCCAGTGTGTATTTATAACAACAGAGACGTTCATTTTCATAACTTATTATTATAATGATTTCTGATTAAAATCCATATTTATTTAGAATTATTTATTAACTAAAACAATTAAGTATGCAATGATCTAATTTTTGGGCGGAAATAATGGTGGTATATTTAATTGGTATACTGTTTTGCAAAGATTTAAATAGTTTTTTTTGTAAACAAATGGGCTTGAAATATTATCGTCTTTAGCACCTGTACATTTTGTACATTTGTTGCTTTTAAAAAAATCTAAAATGTCAATATTCCATGGGTATATATTGATAAATGAGGTATAAATTCTAAGAAAATGCATTTTCTACGAAAACTTGAAGGATAGGAAAAAATGGTATGACACAATTTGATAGATAATTAAATTGTGCATCTGATTCTCGTAAAATATACAGGGGGTTTCATTTAAAATAAACAAGTTATTGCCGTTTAAAGCTAGTAATTATTTAATATAAATTTTTAGACACTCTTTATAAGGTAGTATTATTTTTATTATTGCAACACAATATCTGATCAATATCTTGTAATGTGTATGTGTAATTGTATTTTATTGTATATCCGTTATTTGCTTTTATACATATAAGAGTTATTATTGATATCTATTGATGATGGCTAGAATTACCGAAACCGGTAATAAAGAATCTTTTGACAGTGGTTTGGACTTTGTTTTTAATTTTAACAACAATTTTTGTTTACCATGGACCACTGCTTTGTGAACATGAACAAACCCTATAACTTATAAAAACAAAATCTTTAAATACAATATTTATAATATTTTTTGATATGAGTTTTTCAAAAAGAGTCTCCAAAAAAGTTACACATTAAAGTTGTGTTTTTTGTAATGGAACACCCTATATATTAATTGATTTTCGGATTCCAGGAAAAAAGTGAAGGTGAGTATTATTAGAGGAGTATATGACTAAAATGCAAGGTTTTTGACATATTTAACATTTTCAAAAATTTTTAAATTTCAATAAAAACTATCTAAACTGGAATTTTTCCGGTATAGCCTAATATGTAGTTAAATAACTATTGTACCTTAAATAAAATTAAAACTTTATCCAAAAAGTTATACAGGGTGAGACAAAATTAATATTGAACATTGATCACCTTTAAAAGCAAGTTACTCGTTTATTTTAACACCCAGTATATTATTCCGATATTCAATCGGGAATTCATGTCTCTTCAAAATACTACTAAGGTTGCCTACCCATCCAAAAAGATTTTTCTAGGTATTTTCATTTTTGTGATTTAGTGTCAGTAGATTTTTATTACTTGATAAAGTCTAGGTGACTGTGATATGTCTGACGTTATTTCAACATAGCTGTCATATTAGTTCAACTTTAGCAACTAGTTATCATTTTGTCAGTTAAAACAAAAAAAAATCTCAGAAATTTGCCGAAACTGGAAACTTATCCTACATTAGAGTGAATTGATTTGATTCTATTAGTTGGTGATTCAACTTTTCATTTTTTATTTTTACATAATTATTTATAAATTTCGAATAGTTTTTTTAAGTTAACGCAAAAAGACATTTAAGAAAAAAAGTTGCACCAGTGCTGTCCCGATTTTTTAAATGCTACCAAAATGGAGTCTCCGCGTCGTATGAGAGGCGCCACCCTGTACATATAAAACGTCCAATAACCGACCATCTATACCAGGTGCCATGCTCATGGCGTCGTAATAACCTACGTACAGGTATATAAATCTGGCGCTAGCTTATAATTATCAGCTATATTTACCGAATTTTTAATTCGATAACGTGTCTTGGGCAGTCATTAAAACGCGCGAAACAATGTGGGCATATTAATGCAGCTATTAGTTGCGCGCAAGTTTATTACAGTATTCAGAGCCGGCCCCTCCGTTTCCTAAGCCGGCTCTGGACTAGCGTAAATAACTCACGTTTTAATTACACTTAATGGCTAGGATTCGTAATGAAATTTATGAGTTGGCGGAAGTAGAATGTGTGTATGTCATTAAAGGTATTAACTTTAATATTATTTCGGTGTTTGGGGGGTATGCA